TTCATCGCAGTGTACTTTCATCAGCATAATGTCAGACATGATAAAAGCTAAAGGGGGCAAAATGGAAAGCCTAAAAACACAAGAGACCATGATAAAAAAGGACATTCAGGTGCTAGCTTTTAAGAAAAGGCGTTTCTAAGACTCAGAGCAGTGGCTCGTATGTTTAAAAGTACATCTTATTTTTACTTATTATTATAAACATGATGCATTTTTATGTTTGCATTTAAATTTTCCACTCGTATAAGCGAAGAAAATTCGAAAATTCAAATTCAGTTTTGCGATTTTATTTTGCCATTTGGCAAGTATACATATATTAGTATTGATATTTAATTTGCACAGATTTCAATGCTTTATGAAAAGCTTTATTTAAATTAAAATTTATTTCCAGAACTGCATATTTGTGCTGAATGTGATTATGCAACAATGGTGTCAAAATGATAATTAAAATGTAATTTATCCAATATGCATTTTAACTCACTAATGCATTTGAATTGCATTATTAAAGAGAACCTCTTTGCAATCATATATTCTCACCTACTGCGCTTATTCGGTGTCAAAATGCCTTTGAAAATACATTCAACCAGATTGCATTTTCATTTTCATGGACTTCTATGGCGCCACATCAGTGTCAAAACTAGAGGGCGCGCCATAGACTTCCCAACCGGTCATTCATCCCGTCAGGGCAGGGCCAACAGCATTTTGCTTGGTGAAATGAACTTCTCTTTGACTTTGCAATTTAAATGCATTATTAGACGGTGAAAATGCATATAAATTACATTTGAATTATTAACAACATTGCATAATCATATTTGGCATATATATGCAGTTGTGGAAACACATTTTTACTTTGTGGAAATGAAATGTCAGTACTAATTTACCAAATGGCAAATAAAAATTTCAGTACTGAATTTGAATTTCCATTTTGAGCTCAACGTTGCATATATGAGTGGGAAATTTAAATGCAAACATACATAATAAGGACCAGGTTTTACATATGACATTTTCCTTTTAATGTTGAAACTGATGCGCTTCTATAAGGACATGGTTTCAAGGAGTGAACAAATCACTCCAATGTTACTGTCTGATAGCAGGGCCAAAAAGCAGACCTTCTGACCACATCTAACGTCACAAGACATGCATGCTTTATTTAAAAATGTGGTAAGACACCAATGGCTTAGAAAAATTACAACAGTTCTTCACATACTTACAGAACTCTGTCAAAAATGTTCAGCTTTAGACATCAAACTTTGGCATTTTGCACAAATACCTGTAACTATTCTAGAAAACGATAAACACTGTTCACCAAGAGGAGTGTGAGACAATGAGACAGCAGTCAAATATGAGCTCGATCTCATGGCACTGACTCAACCATGCACAGTATATGTAACATGTGGCAAATAGAAGTTTTAGGAAACACATCTATTAGTAGTTGAGCACAATGAAAAGAGTGATGCATTATAGTTACTTAATTTAAACATACAGCGCTGTGAAAAACTTAGACCACCATTCATTTATTACATTTACGGTTAGAATTATCATTAAGTACAAGCTTTAATGTCAGAAGAAAAACAGAAACAGATATTTATGAGAAAATTACACAGCCTCAACACACACAAACGCATGCACACGCACACACACACACACACACACACACACACACACACACATTTTCTAAGCCGCTTATCCTTCTGGGTCGCGGGGGGAGCTGGGGCCTATCCAAGCAGTCATTGGGTGGAAGGCAGGATACACCCTGGATGGGTACAGCCTCAACAATCAAATATATCACCACATTTTCAGGATTGTGAGTGTCTAACTTGGTATATTTTAGACTACTTCCTACAAGTTGGTTGGATTTTCTACTTCTCACATTCCAAACACTTTTTCTTCTGTTTTTGTCTTTTTCGTTTTCTCAGTAAGGTCTTCTTGACAGCTACACATCCTTTCAGACCCATAGCGCTGAGTTGTCATCTCACTATGGATGTTTTCAGATCTGAAGCAGCTTGATTTTCTCCTCTCTCTCAAAGATGAAAGCTTTAAGTGCTGTTTATCTGATGGGGGCAGTTTTGGTGTCTACCAGGTCTTTCAGTTGTTAGTCCCATTTTCTCTGTAGCTTTTCTACATCTATTTTTTTGTCTTTTCACTTGTTTTCCTTTGACTTTCTCCTTCCTTATGCAAGTGGATTATCTTATATCTAATCTCCTCAGAAATATCTCCTAAATATTAAATGCCAATGTACTTAATGGCTGTTTTGACTGGAAATGAAATAAACCAAAGGGTGGTCTCTGACATTTACACAGTGCTGTGCATCATTTCCACATGAATGAAATCAACACAATTTTGTCAGTTTACTACTGTTTGGCAGTAACAGTGTTGATGTATTTCATTCCTGTGGAAATGAAACACATTCAGTACATCACTTTTTTCAGTGCAGGCTGAGTTAGAGATATGCATGCAAAATGTATTATTGCACCAAACATATATGACACGAATTTATATTATGCACACTTTCTCAGTGCGGTGTCCTTGCACTTGCGCTCGTTCTGCACGCCCTTAATTTACACAGGCTCGGCACCCACTTTATCCTTGACTTCACATTGTAATGCAAACAAAAACCCGCCCTAATCCAAAAATACAGCCAACAGTACGGAAATGGAGAGAGGGAGTGATAAACAGGAGGAGGAGAAAGTAAAAGGGGTGGGATACAGGGAGAGATAGAGAGAAGGGGATGGGAAAGAGGGTCAGCAAACAGTGATGAAGGGAGAGAGAGAGAGATGGGGCAAACAAAAGGAGGTGGAAAAAGAGACAAAGGGAGAGGGATACAGAGAGAGACAAAAAGAGGGAGAAAATATAGAAAGGAAAAACAGGGAGACTGAGGAAATATGATAGAGTGTAAAGAGAGAGAGAGAAAGAAATGGAGGGAGAGAGTGGAGAAAAAGAGGTGGAGAAAGAGCAAAAAGGAGAAAAAGAGGAGGAGAAAGCGAAAGAAAGATAGAGCGATAGAGAGAGTGAGTGATGGAGAAAGAGAGCATACAGCGGGAGAAGAGAGAAAGAAAGCAGGAGAGTGGGGGTGGAGAATGATAGAGAAAGAAATTGAGTAAGAGAGGGACAGAAAGAGAAAGAAGGAGACAAAGGAAAAAGGAGAAAGAGGGTGAATAAAAGGAGGAAAAGAAAGAGAGGGGAGGTGAAGAAAAAAGAGTAAAAAAGAGAAGAGCACAAAGCAAAAGTGATGAAAAACAGTGATGAGAAAGAGAACAAGCGATAAAAAGATGGAGAGAGAGAGAGACAAGAAGAAAGAGTGAAGAAAGGGGGTTGAGAGAAAGATTGAAAAGAGAAAAAAAGACAGAAAACGGGATCCAGAGAATGATGGAGAAAGAGGTGGTGGAAAAGAAGGTGTAGAAAGAGAGGAATACCGAGAGAGACAGAAAGGGGGAGAAAAGATAGAAAGGAAAAATAGAGAGAGGGACACTGAAGAAAAAGGATAGAGTGTAATGGGGAGAGAGAGAGAAATGGAGGGAGAGGGCAAAGAAAAGGAGGTGGAGAAAGCAAAAAGGAGAAGAAGAAGAGAATGAGATAGATTGGAGTGATGGAGAAAGAGAAAGGGATGAAAATATGGAGAGAGAGTAAAGAGATTGAGAGAAAGATTAAAAAGAGAAAAAAGACAGAAAGGGGTATGAAGAGAATTATGGAGAAAGAGGGGGTGAAAAGAAGGTGTAGAAAGAGGGGTACACAGAGAAAGGAAGAATGGGGATAGAGAGAGATGGAGAAGGAGAGACATGAAAAAGAGGGGAAGTGGAGAAAGAGTGAAAGGAAGAGGGATAAAGAGAGAGAATCAGAGAGAGGGGGTGAAAGAGAAAAGAATAGAGTGATGTACAATGAAAGAGTAAAAGAAAGGGAGAAAGAGTTTGCTTGAGAGAAGTACAGAGAGATAGATGGAGAGAGAAAGACAGAGCGAGAAAGAGGAGGTGACACAAGGCAGGGGAAGAAAAGACAGAAAAGAGAATTGAGAGAATAAAGGAGGGAGAATGAGAAAGGGGGATAGAGAGAATGATGGCGAGAGAAGTGAAAAACAGCAGGTAGAGAGAGAGAAAGGGAGAGAGACACAGAATGAAAAGAGTAAGAGAGGGAAAATGGGGATAAAAAGTGATGGAGAAAGAAAAAGAAAAGGAGAGAGAAACAGGATGATGAAAGGAAGGTGGAGAAACAGATGGAAAGGCAGAGAGACAGAAAGAGAAACGACAGAGAGACAAAGTGACAAAGGGGGCGTGGAGAGAGGAGCAGGTCGAAGAAAAGGCAGAAAAGAAACAAGAGAGAAAAAAGAAAGGGGAGAATATGAAAGGTGGATAGAGAGAATGATGGAGAAAGAGAGAGGATGAAAAACAGGAGGTGGAGAAAGTGAAGAGACAAAAGGAGAAAAGATGAGAAAGAAAGGAAGAATGGGGTAAAGAGTGGTTTAGAACAAAAGAGAGGGAGAAAAAGGTTGAAGAAAGAGAGGTGAAGAAAGACCGATAGAGAGATGAATAGAGAGAGAGACAGACGGAGAAAAGATAGAGAGTAAAAAAGATAAAGGGATAGACAGAGTGACAAATGGGAGGTGGAGGAAGGAGCAGGGGAAGAACAGATAGGAAAGGAATGAGAGAGAAAAAAGAAGAGGAAAGAATATGAAAGGTGTAGAAAGAATGATGGAGAGAAGGAGAATTATAGAAAGGGAGAAAGAGAGATAGAGAGAGAGAGAAGGAGAAACAGAAAAGGAGAGACATATATAAAGTCTTCTGGAAACAATAAAGCTAAAATGAATCTGAATAGAATTACACTTATTGATGGTTGGCATGATAATGATTTATCTAAGACTGTGTGTGTTTGTTGTAATAGCTGTAACTGAAGACTGAGAGAGCATATTTAGATGATTAGCTGTTACTCTACACCTGAGAACGTGCAGAACAATAACATTCAGGGAGATTATTACTGCTACACTGTAATGTAACCACATACGCTTAGACTGAATTATGAGCTTATTACTTGGGTAATTTTCATGAGAATATAAAGTCTTTAGCGCGAGCTGAGCTGCAGTTTGGGCTGAAGAGTTTGCGTTTAGAGATGGACGGTGATGTGTGTTGCTGGAGAGTTGGACAGTGCGGGTCTGGGTTCGATTCCTCGGCTCTTCATGAAGGACAGCAGCTGTTCGGGGATCTCCGCCAGCACGTCTTTGGCCAGCCGAGCCATGCTCAGCACCTGGTTCCCCGTGCGGTCGATGTAGTCTCTGAACGGCACAAACTGAGAGAAAAACAAAGTGAATCAACTAAAAAAAGGCTTTTAACAAGCATAAAGGGAATTCTTCACTGAAGAATAACAGTATCATTTACTCTATCCCTCAAAAGTTTGCCTTTTTTAAAAAATAATGTTCGATTTTCACTGCTACTTTTCAATTAAGTGAGAAAAAATACCTCTAAAATAAAATACAAACCCACATCCAAAAATATATACAGAATCTGATACGCTGTCATCAATTGGACGCCGTTTGCCTTCTTTTGAAATTTCAATGTTCTCGCTGTTTAATTTAGGTTTCGTTGTTATATGTCATGTTATGCAGCATTCTCTCTCTCTCTCTCTCTCTCTCTCTCTCTATATATATATATATATATATATATATGGCATATAATATAACAAAACTATTCAGCATGTTAAATTGATAACACAGACAAGTTTTTATCCTTTCTGTGAGAGAAAAGAAGCCACACTGAGGTAAGGTATCCAAATAGCCAGCTACCCTGCTAAGTTTAAGCTTCTTGTCCTTCTCATCTGAGGAGTCATTCCTGTTGTTTGAGTTACTACATTTATACAGCTGCAATTAGATATCCAGCTTTCTAGCAGTAATGTTAGTCTTCCCTGCTTCCCTTAGGCCAGCATGAATTCTGGTGCTGGTTTAGCTGGTCACTCAACATACTAACATCCAAAACACAACTGCTGTTGGAACAAAACCTCATATGTGCATTTTTGGCATTTTTCAGTTTTGGGCATAATTTGAAAATGCCTAGTGCCCTTGACATTGTGTGTCAATTTCATGATGAACAGACCAAAAGAAATGGCCCAAATGACTTTTCAAAAGTCTAGTTCCATTAACTTACATGACTGGTAAAGTAGGTTTTTTTCATTCTCCTGTAATGTTATCATTCAGGAGATACAAGGTTTTGTTCCGACAACAGCGATATGCTGGTTTTGCTGGTGACCAGCCATCCTGGTCTATGCTGTTTTTCCTAGCAGGGTTCCTTCTGCCTTCATCAGGTAACAAAAACAAAAGCAGCCCACTACAAAAGTCCACCCCAAAGCAGTTGGAGGTTCTCAAAAGTTCCTCCCACCTTTAAGATACATTATAAGAAAAAGTTTTTTTTCTAATCTTTAACCCCTTTAAATCTCAGGCTTATTACTTATTAAGGCTTATTATTCAGCAAGTACAAGGACTTCAAAGCAAACAAGCTGAATTATTCTTAGGTTATAGAAGTGTGTAATATAGCTTTGGGCACACCAGTGGGCCCTGGGCATTTAAGGGGTTAAACCAGAAAATCTACTGGGACTAGTGTCCAATGCAAATGAGAGTTTTTAATTGTGCCGGGTTATAACTTTTCCTGGTCCGATTATTCACAGTCAAAGGATTTCTGTTTTTAATGTAGACTGTTCTTCCCCTGCAGCTGACAAGCCGAGAGGTCGGAGAGGTTGTGCTGTGCCCTCCTTAATTTAGAGAGTGCCCCAGTACAAGCAGCAGTCTAGAAACACCCCTGAATGGAATTCCTACTATAACACATCAACACCTGCACACCTGCCCTCAATTTCCTTAAGCTGTAGCTACATGCAGTAAGGGAACCCTCCAAGGTCAGAGCTTCTGCACAGGTTCCCTCACTATAACACACCTGACTAAGCCCATGAAGGGTTTACAGGTTTGCTAATTAGCCAATGATCTGAATCAGGTTTATTCAAGCAGATAAATACACAAATTTGTACTACATTCTACTTCCTGTGCAATAGTGCGTGACGATGATCACCTGTACGATGTCCCGTTCGGCAGCGCGGCCTTTGGAGGACACCCGCACCTCATCCCCATCTAGCTCCTCCATCGCTACAAGGACAGAGAAAGAGACAGAGATCCCAAACGTAGCTACTTTAGCATTGCACTTAAGCTGATGTGGCTAAAAAGTAAAAACGCTTATAACCCACCAATTAGCATCATGCAAACTGCGAACCTATATTATCACCTCCCTAAAACTGTGTGGAGTTATTAAATAATCTCAAACAGACTTGCCTTTGTGGTTTCTACTGTGGGCTATGGATTAAGTTGCCATTGAAAATGTATTTTAGTCTTGGTTTAAGATCAATCTGGGTCTGGGAAACTTGTACTGTTATAAGAACTGGTACAATTATGGTTAAAAATCAGGGTTTGAGAGGGCTGTTACTACAGTTTTAGTCACGTCACCTATTTAGATTTTATTATTGTTAACTAAAACTACTACAAAAAAATACCTAACTAAAACAACTAAAATAAAAACTAACATTGTGCTAAAAATTAAAAAATAATATCACAAAAACTAAATCAAAACTAACATGTCTGCTGCATAACTAACTGAAAAACTATTTTTTGTTTTTGTCCGTGTGTGAAGGAGAGTTTAGAAGTGGATCCCTTCTGTGTTCGGCTGTCTTTAAAAGCTGGAGCTGAGCCGAGTTCAGTCTACTGTTAATTTTAGTCTACCCTTATCAGATACCTACTATCACAGCATTCATCATAATACAAAAACTGAAACAAAAACTGAACCTAAATTAAAGCTAAACTAAAACCATTAACGCACCCTTAACACTAACTGAAACTAAACTGAAAACACAAAAATCAGAATGAAAAACTGAATATATATAAAAATAACTAATGAAAATGTAATAACCATATAAACCCTGGTGTACAAGGTTTATTTGTTAGGTACTCATAGCTCATTATAAAACTAAGGTAACATTTTATTTGGATAGTACACTTTAGATGCTTTGTAGATACGTAATTTACTTTTTAGTTACATTCAACTAAATATCTACTAAATTCACTCTAATTTTCTTGAACTCTAAACCTGGCTCTAACCCTAACCCTAACCCTAAACTCAACCCAAAACCTAAACCCAACCCTCACCCTGCTCCTAGCCCTAATCCTGGTCCAAATCCCAACCCTAAACCCACCACTGTTTAGAATCAACTGAGTTTCCACAGACAGTTTGTTAACAATTTGAACATCTGTAGATAATCAGTAGAGGACCAGAGTGGACTATCCAAATAAAGTGAGACTGAAACTAAAGGAGCAAACTAGAGACACCAGACACATCTTGGCTGACCATCTACATGAAGTAAATTGTAAGTGAAGTGTTCCTAGATTCACCCATACATAAATAAAACAAATGAATAGAATCTTTCTTAGATACTTAATCTTCTATTTTGGATCTGATCAAAAACTGAACAGGGCTATGTGTACTCTATACTCACCATCAAACTCTGCAGGCCCCACCCCCACAATGATGATTGACATGGGCAGGGAAGAAGCCTAAAATAAGAAAGAAATCACATTTTACTGAGGAAGTCTACTTTTGTAAGATTGTAGTGTTGCCCTTCGGCAGCATGAAGACACTGAGGAGACGCACATTGACCACAGCCTCCTTGGTCTGCACCATGTCGGAAATGACTCCGTCAGTGATCATGAGTAGGACAAAGTACTGCGAGCCGTCTGTCACATCTGCTGCAGACCTGTGAGAGAAAGAGAGAGCAAACTCTTCAGATGTCTGTTTCCTATCACCACTATTCTATGTGAACTATTCTGATGTAGTACGTTTCTCTAGGATGGTGAAGTTCACATCAAACACTTCACAACTACTTATATCTTATATCTGATTGAATTATGCACAAATTTGCGGAATTCCTCTTAATAAATAAATTAAAAGAAAGCTTAATATTGACATATTTACTGCCATCTCATTAAGCCATCTACCTATACATGACCTATAAATGTTCTTCCACTGTAAAGCAGTGGAATTTAAATTTCTACAATTTATATATATTATATATATATATATATATATATATATATATATATATATATATATATATATATATATAAATTGTAGAAATTTAAATTCTAGTGATGCACCGAAATTTTGGTCACTGAAACATTTTGGCCAAAAACAGTCAAATGTGGCACCTTCAGTTTTCGAGTGAAAGAGAAAAAGGCCATACAGTACTTTATGGTAAAAGTAACAGAGAAAGATGTTTAAAAACACAGAGAAAAGTATACAACAGAGAAGGATGAGTAGAAAGATAATCAAGAATAGAACATTTAATTTAAATGAATAAAAATTCCAACAAATAAAATAATAATAGAAAAGGGGCACAAAATGCACAAAACAATGAGGCTCATATAAACAAAAGAATAAAGCTGTTTAAACAAGGAATCAATTTTTACAACAAAAATAAAAATACAAGAATGGTTAAAATAAAAAGAATAATTTAAAAGAATAGCTAAGATAACAATGAACAAAAAAGGCATTTTGTCAACTGCTTGATTAAAAAGGAATGTTTTAAATTGTCATTTGAAAATGTCCACTGAGCCTCTCTAATACTTTCTGGTACACTGTTCCACAGTTTGGTGCATAGTAGACAAAGGCTGCTTTCTCAAATTTATTTTGTGGGACTATCAGAATGTCTAACAAATTTGCTGTGGTGGACCTAAGAGCTCGGGCAGGGGCATAAAGCGGCAGACACTCAATTCTAAAAGATACAGGGAGCCAGTGCAGTGTAGCTAGAACAGGAGTGATGTGCTCTCTCTTCCTAGTTTTTGGTAAAAGTCTGGCAGTACAGTTCTGAATTAACAGCCAGTTTTGACTGTGATTTTTTGTTTCAGGGCATCATTAGTAAATTCTTTTTTTTTTTTCAAATATTTAAATATTTAAAATACAACCACATTTCCAAAAAAGTTGGGGCGCTGTGCAGAATGTAAATAAAAATAGAATGCGATGATATGTAAATCATGTAAACCAGGAAGGAAAATACTTACAAAGACAACAGATCAAATGTTGAAACTGAAAAATTTTATTGTTTTTTGAAAAAAATTGCCCATTTAGAATTTGATGTCAACAACAAATTCCCAAAAAGTTGGACAGGGTCATGTTTACCACTATGTTTCATCACCTCTACTTTTAACAACACTCTGTAAGCATGTTCCCATTCTTGTTTAACATAGGATTTCAGCTGTTCAACAGTTCAGGGTCTCCTTTGTCGTATTTTTCATTTCATAATGCACCAAATGTTTTCAGTGGTGACAGGTCTGGACTGCAGGCAGGCCAGTTTAGCACCCGGAGTCTTTTAATATGGAGCAATGCTGTTGTAATACATGCAGAATGTGGTTTGTCATTGTCTTGCTGAAATAAGCAAGGCCTTCCCTGAAAAAGACGTCTGAATGGCAGCATATGTTGCTCCAAAACCTGTATATATCATTCAGCGTTAATGGTGCCTTCAAAGATGGTGCCAGTCACTCATGCCATGTGCACTAATGCACCCCTATACCATCATGAATACTGGCTTTTGAACTGTGCACTGATAACAAGCTGAGTGGTCTTTAGCCCGGAGGACGACTATTTGATCATGCAGTTTTTCACAGACTGGTGAACCCCTCCCCATCTTTACTTCTGAAAGACTCAGCCTCTCTTGGATGCTTTTTTATACCCAATCATGTTACTGACCTGTTGCCAATTAACCTCCAGGTGGTTTTTTTTTAGCATTACACAAATTTACCAACCTTTTGTTGCCCCATCCCCGTCCAGCTTTTTTGGACCGTGTTGTCGGCATTGAATTCAAAATGGTCATATATTTTTCAAAAAACAATAAAGTTGTTTCAACATTTGATATGTTGTCTTTGTACTATTTTCAATAAAATATAGGGTGTAAATCATTTGCACATTACTGCATTTTGTTTTTATTTACATTTTGCACAGCGTCCCAATTTTTTGGAAATGGGGTTGTATTATAAGGTCAGGAATGCAGCACAGAAACAGAACACAGCACACTGAATGTTGGAAATGACAGAAATGTTGATAAATCACTGTGGAAAGAGAACACTCATAAAGCGAAGGCCGCTCCTGCGCCGATGCCCTTGTGCTACTCCACCTCAATAACAATCTTTAGATATTGTCTCATTTAGCTGGAGAGCGTGTGGCTGCTTCTCCAAAGCCTTTATTAAATGTAAACAGCTTGAGATCGATCGCTGGGGGCTTCCTAAAGCTTGCCCGCGGCCCAGCACAGACGCTGAGGGATCTTAGGCTTTCAGACACTTCTGATTGGGGGATTTGCTTGTGCCTAGAAAAAGCTGTGCAGTTATATTTGATATAGTGGAGAAAAAAGAAGCGTAGTGCATATCATCACTGTCATAAATCAGTCACGGTGCGCTGAGAGGATATATGATGGTATGTGCATGAAAAGGTTAGCAGTTCATTGTTAGCGTCCACCCTTGAATGTAGCTGAAGCAATATAGAAGCTGATGAGTGATGCTGAACTCGCACGCTCAGTATTCAGATGGAGTTTCTAATGTGTGTGAGGTTGTATGTGAAGAGAGGCGGGGAGTGTGAGACTGAACTTATTAATCACTGAGAAGAGATAAAAGGGACAAATAGAGAGAGAGAAATGAATGAAAGAGGTGACGTAGGGAGAGAAGAAAAAGCTTCAGTGCCTGACTATGTTTGAAACGATGGCTGGGCAAATAATCAAGTTAATACAGTTTTTCACCTGACTCCAAATGTAGCCAAGGCATGTTTGGTGTCTGAAGTTTGCTTCATTTGATTTGCACTGGAATTACGAGGCTAATGTAGCTAACAAGTAGGTGTGCAGTTGGCAATGGGCAGATTTATTTTGATTTTCCTAGCTAATCTGTGTTATGATGTAAATACGGTTTCACCTGTGTTCATCTCACAAACTTAGCATGATTTTTGATATATATTCATAAAATTGCATCTGATACACATTTCATATAGCAGTAGATCCTCAGAAGCTCTTATTTTGGACATATTCTGAGATGAACCAATTCACTGGAAAACACCATTATGCTTGGAAGAGGATGACCAACAACAAGAGGGATGGATACAATCAGATGAATCATGAACCAACCAGCCTGAAGACCCAAACAGAAGACAGGATATTCTGGAGAAGCACTATTCATATAACCATATAAATAACCAGGAGTCAGAAATGACTTGATGGCACTAATAATATTATTAATAATTATTTAATGTAGAGACTTTCACTTTGTGTACCCTGTTTATCCAGTTACCACAGCCACAATAATGCTAACTTCTGTGGGATTTGAAATTATGTTAGTATTAAGCTAACGGTGATGTTCATTTACTTTCCCACTTGGTTTAATGCTGCTTAAACACTGAAATTAATTTGTAGGACATTGGAGTAACATTTTCTTTACTTTGTATGCTGCAGTCTTTCAGTGTATCACTTAGTAAATACTTCAACTTTAAGCCTAACTCTAACTCTGTTGGCCTATTAGCTATCTGCTACGCTGCTTTTGTGTTCTTAAGTAGGGGAGAACGGGCAACAACTTAACGCAGAGCACAAATTAAGGCTTTTTACATTGTTAAAGAGGGTCAAGCAGGGTGTGTTTCTGGCCACATTGACACATGTCCTAGCCACAGTCTCAGAATTTTTTTTCAACACAAGTCTTTTTTCGATTACTGAGCTGTTTGTGTAAATCACAAAATCCGACTTTATATTACTTTAATCATCATCTTGTTGCTGACAACGTAGCATCGTTTTGGTGCAGGTGACAAGCTCACAGCAAGTGCTAGGCAAAACCTCCATACTGTGGGGCTAACTGTAACGTGATGTTACAACAAAGCCACCTTTTTTGTTCCAAATGTTTACACAGACTTTAAAATGAAAGAGAGAAAAAATCTTCTTTCCTCTACTTCATTAGTATCGTCTATGAATGTTAAGTATCAGTTAAGTATATGAATGAAATTGATGTTAACAGTTGGTAAAGCTGTAGTTTTTCAGAAACAATGTTCATATTTTACTGATGTGTGATGGTTTTATTTGCTGTCTTACACTGGACAAAAAATACATTTGTCATTGTTTGACACACAGTCTCATGCCAGTGTTCATATATAATTTGATGTGTGTGTGTGTATCTATCAATTGAGCTGTCTGTCTATCTTATAGATAGATAATATAAAATGCACTATGGTTGGAAAGTATATTTGCTTCTTACAACATGGAATTATATCAAATTATCTTTGTTTGCACTAATTCATCAGACTTTTCTAGCAAATGCTAAACTGACCCTCTGTCTGTTACAGTTAACCCACCCATGGGTTAAATTGTAACATGTTGCTTCTTGTCATTTTCGGTGGAAATGTACACGAATGATAGGTGCTAGAAATTAAGTTCAAGTGTTTTTTGTAGTGGAGAGGTATATGTTGCTTGTATAAAAATCTGATTAATCCAGCTTGAATATTTTTTCAACAAAAACCAAAATCTGTCAGGTTGTGCCCCTCTCTGCCCTATAAGTTATGTTCAGTGTAGTTTTGGGCCTTTTGCTTCACATACATGCAATGTGCAAGGGCAACCATACATGCATTCATACTGCAAACATTCTAGGACTAATGTGATACAGTCTTACAAGCTGTAAGCCATTCTATGTTTTCTGTGAAAATGTATGGTTGCTCCTCTGAATGCTGAAGTGCATGCACATCCATGCATGTGAGTCTAAGTGTTTGATGTCAGTGCATTAATTTGGCCCACAAAGCAAAGAGCAAATAAACCATTTGAAGCAATCAGCCTATTTAGCTGTAAAGTGAAATCTGCAATAAAATTGAAAAAAATCATAATTGTTACACTCTGCTAATAAGTAATGGACGCTTTTAGCGACCAATTAGCAATGTACACACTGCATGCTTAAAACACCACTCACTTGCCTCAAACCATGTTGAGTTATTAAATAATTTAGACTTGCCTGCACTGTTTTAATATGTTGTACATTTATGTACGTTAATAAATAACAGTATCTCTAAGCATCTCTACTTAAGATTACTTAACAACTCATTTGAGGCAAAGCTGCGATGACTTAAGCATGCGGTTTGCAAGCTAAACTGTTGGCTTCCATCACTTAGCTACGTTAGCCTCGTAGCTCCAGTTCAAAACTAAAGAAGGAATCTTCAGACACCAAACATGCCCTGGCTGACTGACTACATTTATGCACAAGAGGAAAACTGAGTGAAATCAATTTTTTGCCAAACTATTGCTTGAAGCTAGATCATGCTTTTGTCTCTTACTGTGCCACCTGGTTGATGACAGGAGCGAAATTGGTGGGACCATAGAGCTGCACCGTTCGGAGACATTCGTAATAAGCTTCCAGCACTCCTTCAATCCCCACACAGTTCGCATTCTCACAGTCTGTATTCTACGGCAGGGTGAGAGCACAAAACCAGCCAAATCAATCTACAAGTCTGTGATTATAAACAAAAATTCAAATTAGGCTAAACAGCCTATGCTGGCATACAGAGTCATGTGAAATAGTTAATATATTATTCTATTTTTTAAGAACTGAGCTACAAGAATGATTGGTCAGGTGTATCTCACCAGAGGAAACGCATGTGAGACTTTTCCATCTGGAGGAATCTTGGCCCCAAAGCCGTAGGCTGGGAAGAGCTTGTCACTGTCATAGTCCTGAATAATCTCCCCAACTGCTTTCAGCGCCATTGCATAGGCATTCATCTGATATGGACTCATGTAGTGAAGGGATGTGGGCTGAGCAGGGTTACCTACAGTACACACATATGCACAAAGTCTCAGAAACAGATACACTGCCTGTCACTTTATGAAGACACCAAGTATTTCAATGCATCATTTAGTAAAGACTAACTTAAAACTCAATGGTTTTATTTCCATCTGTATCTGCCATATCAGTGTTTTTCTCTATTATTATTGTGTTTTTCATTTAACTCAGCACTGGTCTGATCATTTTGGTCCCATCTGGATGCACATCTCTGTGATTTCCCATGCAGATGTCTCCTCACATTAGGAGAAAAAGATTTTTGACTGCTGCTATTCGCCATTGTTAGTCTCTTAGTGCATATTCATATTAAACACTTCCTAAATCATGAAATCATAGACACTGAAGAAGAATCTCTTAACCATTGACATAGTCTCTGTGGTAATATTTCATTTCCATCCTCTCTACAGTGGGAGATCATTTGCAGGACGGGGAAAGAAAAGTGAGATCCTGCAGGATCTAAAGGGGTGATCATAGGCAGCGACAGGTATAAGGTATTACTTTACATTCACAGTATCATCAACTTTAATTTTCTACAAATAATAAGCATGATTATATGACTGATGTGTGATACAAAAATCTGGGTGCATATAAAATACAATCCACTAGAAATTCGCTTGTCCTGTGACAATTTTATTGCTGTCTAAATGCAAATGTTTTATCACTGAGGAGACATGTAAAAATGTATTATTATTGTTATGAACTAGTTCAATGCGAATATGGCTTTTGGATGTGAAGTATCCTGTATAACCAAAAGTTTGTGGACACTCCTCCTAATTATTGAGTTATTGAGCTTAGGTGTTTCTGCCACATCCATTGCTAATAGGTATAAAATCAAGCACATAAACATGCAGTGTCCATAGATAAACACTGGCAGTAGAATGGGTCATAATGAAGACCTCATTGACTTTAAATGTGACACTGGCATAAGATGCCACTTCTGCCACAAGTCAGTTTGGGAGATTTCTGCCCTGCTAGATCTGCCCCAGACAACTGTAAGTGCTATTATTGTGAAATGGAAGTATCTAAGCACAACAACAGCCCAGCCACGAAGGGGTAGACCATGCAAACACACAGAGCAGGGACTGAAACACACAGCGCATAATAATCACCTAATCCCTGTTACAGCAATAATAGGTTGATTAGTTGGACTGGGTGTGTTGAAGGAAGGGGAACACTAACACGTACAGGGCAGTGGACCTCCAAGACCAGGGTTGAGAAGCACTGCTCTGTTGCATTACTCACTCCTGAGTTCCAAACTGCCTCTGAAAGCAACATCAGCACAAAACCTGTGCATTGGGAGCTTCATATATTTCCATGGTCAAGCAGCTGCACACAAGCCTAAGATTACTTTGTACAATACCAAGCATCAGCTGAAGTGGTGCAAAGCACACCACCACTGGATTCTGGAGCAGTGGAAACATGTTCTCTAGAGGGATGAATCATACTTCTCTATCTGGAAGTCTGAAGGACGAATCTAGGTTTTTCAGATGCCAGGAGAACCCTACCTACCGGAACGCATAATACCAACAGTAAAGTTTGGGGGAGGAGGGATAATAGGCTGGGGCTATGGGTACAATGTCAAGCACATTCACCATCAATCTGAAGAACCCTTTCACGATGCAAAGAACCCTTTAATCATGCATGGGGTTCTTTGAGTGTTCATGGTTCTACATAGAACTATTTTCTTTACTAAAGAATCCTTGAAGAACCATAGTTTAAAGCTGTGTACAAAGACATTTCAGATAATAATATGCTTTGTGGCAGCAGTTTGGAGAAGGTCCTCTCCTGTTCCAGTATGATTTTGCCCCTGTCCACAAAGCGAGCTCCATAAAGACATACGTTAACCAGTTTGGTATGGAGGACATCCGGTGCACTGCTCAGATCCCTGACCTCAACCCCACTGAACACCTTTGGAATGAATTGGAATGTTGATTCTGAGCCAGGCCTTCTTGTCCATCATCAGTGCCCTCACAAATGTTCTTTTGACTTAACAGACAAAGGTTCCCACAGACACGCTCCAAAATCTTGTGGAAAGCCTTCCCAGAAGATTGGAGGCTGTTAGAGCTGCAAGTTGGGGAACAACTCCATATTAAGGCCCATGGTTTTGGAATGGGATGCTCAACAAACTCATATAGGTGTGATGGCCAGGTGTCCACATAATCTTAGCCATACAGTGTATGTTATGTGGAATAAGGGAAGCAGAGAATAAAGGCAAATAATAATGAATCTCACCATTGGAAGCAGTGAAGTCTATGGCCACTGTGAAGTTGAGCTGGGTCCTGTTTTAACATTCAGACACATTAATAATAGTGCATTTACATCTGATGTACTGAAAGACATTGACACCAACCAAAAGCAACCCTGAAATTGCATCACATGGACAGAATAACCTAAGTTCTCTATTCAAGAACCCAACAAGAAGCCTCTGCTTGCTCATTAGGCTCTCAGAATCTCACCCTCCTCTGATGAAGTCCACAAACGTGTACTCTGACTCCACTTTGAAGGACAAAAGCGTTACCTGGAGAGAGTGGGGAAGATTAGATAATGGGGGTAATTATGAAAATGAATTCGTAGGAGAGGGCACTTTGACAAGCCGTTCTACTTACAGTGCCGGAGTTTACGTATTTCTTTTTTCTGCCTTTCTTTTTGGGGTTGAGAACCTGAAATTATACCATGGCAAACGTCAGAGGTTACGGTGATGGCTGCGGGCTTTTGCATTACAATAGGTATGTTCTCTTGTACTTATATCACCCATAAAAAGACTATGAAATTGCAGTTATCATTAATGGCTTGTAAGTGGTGGAAAGTTTTCCTGGACAATTTTCTCTCTCACCTCGTACACGTTAAACTGGCTCTGACCTCGAGACAGCTCTCTATAGCTGGTAGTGAACTCTCCAATGAAATCATGACTGAAAAACAAGACGCACATAGATCAAATGAATTTGATGAAATAGGTTAGATACTGAAGTTCCAAACTCACTCTAAAGACAGTGCACAGTATTATGCTCAAGAAGACCTATTCTTTTTCGCAGATGATAATAAGTTTAGCTGTGAGGTGGGTGAAATTGTGAAAAAATAAAAAAGAGAGAACATACTGTACCTTCCATCTCGGTCCCAGTCATACACATCAACTTTAACTGTTCTAGAGAAAAACACAAACAAGGGTGTCAAAGGGTTTCACATTTATAAGCAAACTAGAGATATTTATTTAAATTTGCACAGAAGCCTCAACAACTACTTTTTTCTGTAATTCTACTCTTTTTCTTTATTACAGCTTTATTACAGCTTCCATTCTTTTGTGGAGACTTGCTTTCAGTTTTTCAAAGAAATCTACAGGTATATTTTTCCTCCAAAGTTCAGTCTTAGAAACTGGTGTAACATTTTCTGCTTCTTGCAACTGAAGTAACCACATTCAAAGACATTGAGGTCTGGACTCTGGGGTGGTCAGTCCATTGTTCTGAGAACACCAGTAGTTAAATATGTGACATTTGGCAATATCTAGTGGAATCCACAACCACAACATTAGTCCCACAACGGGGAAATTTCACCTCTGCATTTCACCAATCCGTTCAGTGAAACATACACACTAGTGAACACACACGCACTAAGGGGCAGTGAGCACACTTGTCCAGCCCTATTTGGCACCTGGCGAGCAGTTGGGGGTTAGGTGCCTTGCTTAAGGGCACTTCAGTCACGTACTCTCGGCTCAGGGGATCGAAACGGCGACCTTCTGGTCACAAGGCTGGTTCCCTAACCTCCAGCCCATGACTGCCCCCATGCCTAACAGTTGGCAAGGTGTTCTGTTCATCAAATGCTGCTCCTTTTTCCCCAAACATAACGGTGATTGTGGCCAAAAATTTCAATCCACAACACTTCTTTCCAAAATGTCTCTGGCTTATCTAGATGTTGTTTCGCATATTACAGATGTACAGTATCCAACACATATTGTATCATGTCCTGACCAGCTTATACAGCCTGACCCCTTCACATGTTGCTCTAAAAATGAGGAGACAAAACAGTGAAAGGTCAGGGTGGGCAGGAGTCCAGGGAGTGAGCTGTCAGAGCCAGCGGCCATCCACTGCTGTGATTACTCTGACTGCCACTGAGACACAGCTGTCCACTGCCAGTATACACTCACCATGGCTTCATCCTCATCACATAGCTTCACCACACGAGGCCTTCACACAAAGCCACAGCACTGTATATCTCACTATAGGAGTCTGAGGGAAGCGCGTGGGTGGGAGTGAGAATGAATGACTGTGCAGGAAAGCAACTCTATCAACACATACTGCACATGCTGTGTGTATATGAGTGTGTATGTGTGTGTGATGCATTACCCAGCTCTCCTCACCTGTCATAGTCCCCATTACAGAGGGCTCTGACGGGAATGGTGAAAGGCTGCCACACCGGGTTCAGCGTGTTCTTGATCACCTCAGTCTTATGGCAGATGGTAAACCTACAACAAAAGCTCACAGTGAGACAGACCAGTTCAACATATACACAGCTGTATGCAAAAGTTTGAACACCCCACCATCTTGCAAATTACGTTTTGTTGATTTTCTAAGTGAAAATAAGTTAACATGTCCTCTACAGAGAACGTATATAAATATTGCATTTTTGATCATTTTCACATACAAATATACACAATATAAAATGTACTTTGCACAGGCTGCATTTTATGTTTTACTAAATTTGTTAAATTCAGAAAATAAACAGTATTGTGCATTAAGTGTGTTCACTGTAGAGGATGTGTTAACTTATTATCACTAAGAAAATCAACAAAACATCATTTGCAAGTTGTGTTCTAACTTTTGCATACAAATGTACATTATTAACAGTTAGATTATTAGTAAGCAAAATGCACTATCCATTAAAAGTGAGGGGACGTACAAAATGTAATTAAATTAGCATGTTTACTTTGTTGGTACAACAGTGTTTAAAAGTTTAGAAACTTTTGTCATATTACTAAATTTTATTTAATAACTTGTACAGTGTTGATTAAAATGTTATGAACTAGACACCAAAATGTTAACCAATGGCTTATTCACAATTAAAAGTATTTTGCAAACCACTTATGATTTAAAGAATTAGCAAATGTTATTAAATAATAAACTGTAACCAGCTGAATGGCTGAAAAATGTCAATAAAATGAAATGATCTGTTTAGAGAAATTTGTTGCTACTCAGTTACTATGAATTGCTATTTGAGCACCGAGATTTGGAGACTTTTCGAAATATAAAAAACTGGACATTAAAATGGTCAAAGGGATCCATTGTCAGAATTTGGCAACAGCTTAACTTGTTTAACCCTTTAAAAGGCCAGGGCCTGCCAGTTATTACACACCTCTATAACCTAAGAATAGCTCAACCAGTTTGCATTGAAGTCCCTGTAGCTACTGAATAATAAGCCTTAGCATGTAATAAGCCTGGGATTTTAAAGGGTTAAATCTGCCCCCAGAGGAGTCATGGTGCAAGCATGTCCACATTCATCAGAGTGAAAACATATTAGCGTGTAGAATCAGAACCCTTACATAAACGTAAATTTTATTACACACTTTCTATAACCTAAGAATAGCACAACCAGTTTGTATTGAAGTCCCTCTAGTTAGTCCTTAGTGTGTAATAAGCCTGGGATTTTAAGGGGTAAAGGTGGGCCTCTGTGTTTTCTATCTCTGTATAAAAGATGCATGAGACTTCCTTTATTTCCAGGTGCACCGTGTTTTTACCCCAAAGCATTCAGATCGGTAAGTGCTTACTGATTTGTGTAATTAGAATAATAATAAAGAATCAATGATGTGTGAGTTTTATTCCACTTCAGGCATTTTCACATACAAAAAAGGCGTTGTTTTTATTTATTTATTTATTTATTTTTTACAAAAACTGGATATAATTCATAGAGTTTTTTGGCTTTGTTCAATCACATATTTTACATATAATATAAATGCAACAACAGCACTGACAAATCACAGCATTAACAGACAAGAGCAGTTTAAACAGCAGGAATAGCCACGTTTTTGCATAGCCTTAAAAGGTTTATTTTCTTATAAGTTTATTCAGTTATTATGGAATCACCTACAGCTCTGTTCATCACCCCCTCTTAAGAATGTGCTGTAGATGGTTCTATATAGAACCTTTCTGAAAAGGGTTCTATACAGCACCCAAAAGGGTTCTTCTATTGTTATGATGTCAAGCTTGTAACAACAGAAGAGCAATTTTGGGTGCTATATAGAACCCTTCTCAAAAAGGTTCTATATAGAACCATCTACAGCACATTCTCCATCTAAAGAAGTGTTTCATGATGTAAATAACCCTTTAATCATCAATCAAAGTGTTCTTTGAGTGTTTATGGTGCTATGTCTTTTTTAAGAGTGTACTTTAAAGACTAAAAAGGTGTATTTTGAAGAAAATGGTATCAGATGTGTGATGAAACATCATATCTCTGAAATGGTAAGTTTACAGGAAAAGGCAAAGATGTCCTTAACCTTAATGTGTGTTAAAGGAATTAACCGTTCCTATTGGTTCTTTCACCATGACATGTTCACACAAAAGAGCAGCTGGTATTTTTCAAATATTGTGAAAAAAAAACAAACAATAAAAGGAGTTAGAACGTTTTGATATGACAGTTACAATATATTTGTGACAATATTAGTGACAGGGCTGCCTTGGAAATGATGCCAAAGGCCACACATTTGATCCCCTTAGGCTTGTTGTGATGTCAAGACTCATCAGCACTCAAACCTTTCAGCTGTTTAAACCTCTGGGCCAGAAAACTGTCAAAGCATTATTTAGGCTTCTTTATACCAAGAAAGACACCTTTATTTGTAATAATGTGTAAGTAACATTGAAAATTAAACACTATTCTGATTTTTTTAAAGGCAAGCAGTGTATCATAAGATATAATAGAGCATATAATAATGTAATGATCCTTATTATCATCCTCCTAAGTCCATTGCAATATACAATTTTGTAAGTTGTTTGCTATTACTTACGTGCCGTCCTCGTTGCTGCGGTAGAACACCAGGAAAGGGTCAGATTTTCCAAAGAAATCCTTCTTATCCAGCTTGTTAGCACAAAGCTGCATTGTGGCAATATCCTATTTGAAAGCAAATACAGCACATGACATTTAAAAATCTAAAGAACACCACTACCTGGTTAGTTTTAGGACTATTTGGGACAATTTCTGGACCCATTTCAAACTGCAGCTGCTAGGCTTCCATCCCTCCCACCATAAAAGGGGAATTCCACTGATTTTTCACAATTTTAGCATAATTAAATCATTAAGATGTGAATAAAGAAAATGTTGAAAAATCAGTGTGATTTCTCTTTAAGAATAACCTAGTCTGACTGCATTATTTTCCATGTCATCCTAGAAGCCTAGATTTTAATTTCCTTTTTACAAGGTCATTCAGCTTTTAGACATTAGCTTTGTCCCTGTATGTCCTGCAAACTGGCCCTGCAGTATAGACAGAACATTACTGATCAGTCTTAAATGGCCAGGACCCATTAGCAGGTTCAAAGGTTTTTATGTACTTCTATAACTTAGGAATAGTTCAGCCTCTTTGCAGTGTAGTCTATGTAATTACTAAATAATAAGTCTTATGATGTAATAAGCCTGGGATTATAAGGGGTTCATATAAATAGCCAACTGAAAATCCAAAGTCCTGCACAAGAAACAGACTGTGACACTGAGCACTAGCGGACAACCAAACCCTGAAGCACACATAAATATGGACATATTTCTTCATATTTAATGCTGGCTCAAAAGCTCACTCGAAAATAATATTGGTTTAATAAAAACAAAAAGTTCCTCTCACCGTACATGTAGTTGATAAACTAATATATGATTGGTGGTTTTGTACTGGAGCTACGAGGCTAATGCAGCTAACAAGTAATGGAAATTCAAACTCTACCAGTTAGCACTGCTCACCGTGTGGCCATGAGGAACAGGGATGCACAAAGGTGTTCCTGGCCCTCAGCAAAGACTGAGAGGCAATGCTTCCTATAAGGCAGTGCAGCTACCGCCTTGCCCACAGACTCCACAGGCAATGATAATCAAACTAAGTAGCTCTATATATGGTATAAAAATCTTATCATCAAGCATGGATTTGCTCTGTTAGTCGTAAGCTAACAGTTATACCTCAACTAGCATAACTAACTAGTGTAGCCAGCCAGCTAGACCATGCTAAACAATGCTCATCTCTTTACCTTTAAGAAAAACCTTGAAACTGTATGCAATCCGTCAAATAATTACATCAAATCTCAAGTGTGTTGAAAATTTGGCAAATGATGGTGAATAAATGCAGGCAAAGCTGTGATTTGAAGTTAATTAACCATTCTATAAACCTCTGAGGCTGGTAATATATGATAATACATTTATCAGGCTCTTAACTATTAATGGTTTCCTACAAGACATGAAAGCAAGGCTTAATGCTGCTGTGTAGTTTAGCTAGCTATTGTCTAGTTAAATATATTTTTGCTATATTACAATTGTTATATGCCTCTGTTAACTAACTGTAGATGACTGTAAGATGTAAGAGAAGTAGCAAATGCATGGGTGTGGCTAACATAAGACTCCAGCTATGGACTAAAACACTTTGTGTTTCAGTAGTGACATAAAATATGGAACAGCATTTTTTTAAAATAAAGTCTTGTTATTAAAAAAATAATTTTAAATTTTCTTTTTTTTTTTAACTTTACTTTAAAAGAGGTTAAAAAATAAATAAATCAATAAATTCAGTGGTTAGGGTTTGGGACAGTCACCTGCCAACAGAAAGTACCCTATTATGATGATTTTGTATATATAAAACTTAATATTTTCTCAATGAATGCCGTGAGATTAAATATATCATAAAATAATCCTTATAAATATCTAAGGTCTAAATACTTAATTGTTTTTTAATGTTTTAATAGTTTAAATGATCCTTATAAAAGTATGTCATGCAGCTGATTTGAGATGATTTATTATTTAGACACGGTTAAAGCTAAATATCTGATGATTGACGCATGCAGTTTGCACAATGCTAATCAGTAGGGTATAAACTTGGTCACTGTTGGCTATGTTAGCCTCGTAGCTCCAGTATAAAGAAGCAGACTTTGGATACCAAACATGTCCAGGTTGATGGACTACATTTGCAGTAAGGGGGGAATTGGCTGAGCTATTGCTTTAACTGCTTTTCAGAATGAGAGCAGAGAACACAAACCAAGTACAAAGGACAGGAGAATCGATCCCTTGGAGAGGACGGTGTCATGTTAGAGGAGAAAAGCTAGTGCTTCATCCATACTAATGGATCTTTACGCTTTGCTGCTATTCCACCTGCGTGAACCGATGTGTTGATCCCAGGGGGATTCATGTCAACAGCCGAGAAGCCACATGTGTAACTGCCATAATTGGTGCCTAACAGAGAGAGGGTGTCAGGGGAATACTCTCGACGCGTCGGCCTGAGTGTTAACCCTCCTAAGGCCCTCAGGATGTATACACCTTGAATCCTCTTCTTATGTTAGGTTTCGTTATTTCAGTCTCACAGCTCTTTGAAGCAAGTGGAGAAATTGTGCTAAAAGTGCAGATTATAAACTTTCAATTGCTAATACATTTGTGTTTAAAAGTATAACTCTTATAATTTGAAAGTGAAAAGCTACTGTTGAGCTTACAATTTGGTTCATTTTTGCCATTTTCTTACTTTGAAACAAAAGTTGCAGAGTCAAACTTGTCAATACAGAATGTAAATCAAATGTACATTTAAGTCATTACATAACTGCACTTAATCGTGCGATATATGTTAATATAGTACAAACCATAGACTTATACTCTAACCCTAATCCCTATTCCCAAACTAAGCCTTGAAGTAATTATTCAACATTTACACATTTCCTCCTTATAACAAATATTAGCATATGTGTTTAGCGATTCTCTCCGACCAATCAGCAGTCTGTAGCGTTTTTACATCACCTTATGGTCGTGGCTCAGCTCACTTGGAACCTCAACAGAGATGGTACCAAACAAGTACCAGGTACTAGGTACCAGGTGCAAACTTTTGCCTAATGGAAAACCGAAAAAGGTAAGTAGAGTTGAGTCGAGTCGAGTCAAGCCAGTAGCATGAAGTGGAAAAGCGCCTTATGCTGAATATCTATGCATTATCCCTGTAGCTGGAGTACCATTGGTCAGAACTGGGACATTTGGGTGGAACTAGAAATGGTGCAGACCATTAAGTGGTCATTTCTAAAAAAAACACTTGCCAACCAGAATCATTGTCAGTGACTCTCACATAAAAGCAATGAGTAAAAAAAAATATAAACTTAAAAATATGAAGTTTCTCAACTCTTGCTCCTGTTTACTGCTTGTGTTTACTGATAACACAAGAGTTGTGAGAAAAATTATGTTGGAGAGTCCCACCCACTTTCACAGCTTTGTTGGGTGTTGGGAAACAGACACTGGTACTCGACCAGGGTACAGATAATTTTGGGCTCAGATTAGCATAGGTGTCACCCTCTGTAGACAGTAACCCTTATATTCATAGCTTTCAAACTCTCTCATAGCCTAGACATAGAGTACATTTTTAACAATTATAACAACAACAGAAATGTAACCCATTTTAACTGTCTTTACTATGACATATTCACATATATTCGTATTTATACTGATACCTTAGTCTTGTAGCTAAAGTGCAAAACTAAAGAAGCAAATTTCAGACACCAAACGTGTGCTGGCTGATTACACTTGGGGTAAGGCAGGGAAACATTTGATTTTTGTGTACATCAGATTTTTTTTAACTAAGATTTTAATCAAAAGAAGCACTGCTCCAGCGGCTCACTCTCTGCCTTCTGACCGGCTGCCTTCCCTTGGGGAAACTGACAAGATATTCCATGTAACCAGACATTCGGAGTGAAAGAAAGAGATGCTAGTTTTCTGAATGTGAGAAATAACGGGTTTTGGCCTCTGTCATTTGAGCTTTCACAGTCACTCTGCTCCCACAGAGCTTTCAGAAGAAATGACTGATAAATTACTTCCACGTCTTCTGGGATTTCTAGACACGTCTGATAAAAACCATGAAAACAGAAATCTAGCACTGTAATGGAACGGCATAATGCATTCAGTAAAACTGCTGTGTGCATGTCTGTGTGTGTGCAGGTTAGACTGACCCTGCAGTTGCTGAGTTCTTCCGCTGTAAAGATGATGTTTCCGCATTTCTTGCCTGGAATACCCCTGAAGGAGAGACGAGGAAGCAAATGTAATTTTTTTACCAAAATGGGGAGCATGATTGCAATGTCAAGAGTTTAATCCATCCTTTGTAAAGACAAGCTACTGAAGACATGTGCACATCTGCAGTGACCTAGATGGGTCAAAATAGCTGAGTAGAAAAAGTGCAGGAAAAAAATCTACTTTTCACCGAACCAAGCAGGCTATATTTGCTGCTAGAAGGCTTCTGTTATTCAAGTACCACATGACAGCCCTGGCAGAAATGCTGCAGCTCTTTATTCGGTAAAAATCCAGTAAAAGGCTTTTTAAAAGAGCACGATTCACTTGTAAAGAGCACAAGGGCATTGGGGGAAATGGCAGAAAGTAGGAAAGGATAGAGTTTAGAGGAGCTGTGCAGAGAGAGAGAGTGAGAGAGGGAGAGATGATGAGGGGGGAAGTAGAGCCATGAGAAAGAAAAAGAGCACAACAGTTCAGGATGGTAAAAGCAAAGGCAAGAAAATGACCAGCACTTTAATAGTCAGTGGATGATGTACAATGAATGAACAAGTGCCAAAGTCTGAATGCTAAGTTTGTACTATAAAACAATGTCCCTCTCATTTCACATTGTACTCGTGTTTTAACTTAAAAGGCCTATAACTAGTATTTAATGTTATTTGTCATGTGATTTCATATCCTCCTCAGTATATATATATATATATATATAATATATATATATATATATATATATATATGTATATATATATATATATATATATATATATGGATATATGTATATATATATATATATATATATGTATATATATATATATATATATAGATATAGAACACATATGTTTCTGTTTAGTTTATCATACTTTATGTACACCTACCAGCCACTTCACTTCATTTACTATACCTACCTTGTTACTATACTTATTGTCCTAAGTAATCAGCTTTGATTGGTGGCAATTACAGACTACAGTCCACCTGTTTCTTTGCATACTTTGTTAGCCCCCTTTCACCCTGTTATTCAATGGTTAGGACCCCAACAGGACCACCACAGAGCAGGTACTGTTTGGGTGGTGGATCGTTCTCAGCACTGCAGTGACACTGTTGTGGTGGTGGCATGTTAGCGTGTGTTGTGCTGGTATGAGTTGATCAGACACAGCAGTGCTGCTGGAGTTTTTAAACATGGTGGGGGTCCTGACCATTAAAGAACAGGGTAAAGGGGGCTAACAAAGCATGCAGAAAAACAGATGGACTACAGTCTGTAATTGTAGAAAACTACAAAGTGCTCCTATGGTATGCTATATGGTAAGTGTATGCACACACAGTATTATCACTACAAACAATATCGTATATCATACATATTTTAATCAGGAAATTTCAAAGTATTACTTTTTTGGTGTAAATAGCAAGAAATATGCTAGATGCTGAATATACCAAAAACATATAGAAAAGTCAGTATATATTACCAAAGTAACAAATATTCATTGGGAAAGTCTTTTACAGGTTAAATAAAAGCTGTAATTTGTGTAGAAATATAAAGGGGCTTCCTCCTGGAGAGCGGTAACATTTCCTCATGAAGCCTGCATGTATTCAGTGGGGATCTCCCTGCATACAGAGTAAAACACACACGCACGTACACACACACACTCTCTACTGACAGGCCACCAGCAGAGCAGAAATCCTGTTTGAGCCTCTATGATGTCAAATGTAATTATGATTGTGAAGGGCATCCTTTAGACAGACGGACCCCCAACCACTTTCCTCATCTGCCCCCTCCCGGAGCGCGTGTCAGACTCAAACATAGGCAGGTAGGATACACACAGGCAAGTCAGTCATGCAGGTGATTAGAGATAGCGTGCTCACAAAATGAATGATTTACAGTGCATTTTAAACAGCACTTTTAAAAGTGCGCTTTCTTAAAAACTTATCAGGAAAAGGTGTAATGTAAGAGTAAAGAATCACTGAAATCAAGAAGGAGACTGAACTGTATTACAGTACTGTTACAGCAAGAACGCTAATAACAATCAAATTACACAGACCTCCATGAAAACTAAAGGACTGCTGTTTAGATACATGACTCAAACCAAACCAATTCTTAATCATAACTCCAATCAAACTCAAACTAATCTTCCCATTAACCCTAAGCACTTAACTCGCCAACTCAGGTTTCTTTACAGAGATGGTGACCAGACGTCTGAAGAATTTACTGTCTCTAAAAACTACAGGAAATTGTTACATGAAATAATTACAAATACTTTGCCTGAAGTCTGTTTTACTATGGCTTTACATTTATGGCATTTGGCAGACACTCTTATGCAGAGTGACGTACAACCTGATCTTTTTTTTCCCCCCCAGATAGGTGAATGTAGTGTTAGGAGTCTTGCCCAAGGACTCTTATTGGTATAGTCTAGGGTGCTTGCCCAGGCAGAGGATTGAACCCCAGGCTACAGCATAGAAGGCAGAGGTGTTACCCACTACACTGTATCAACCACAGTTTTGGGCTAAAACACATCTTTTTAAATCTATTTATGGTGGAAATGTACATGCAGGGTGTTGTGAGGCAAAATAGTCCCCAAAATACCACTATTTTACCATTATCGACACTGCATCAAACTCAGGAGACACATGTAGGTTCACTGGTGGTTTTGGACAGTAAATAAAATGGCTATATTTGTGTTGTAGATATGGTGACCCCTGGTTACTATCACCACCACTGTAAAGAGTCTGTACATTTCTCTGCAATTAACTATTTCAGATCAAACCACTCTGAATGACTTTGTTTACATCTCAATGAATGAATTGAAATGAAAAAAACACAGCATGAAAGGGTTAATCATGAATCAGCAGCCCTGCCACTCACTCTCTTTTTTCTTCGAGTCAGCTAATAACTTTAGTTTTGAACTGACAAAAGGAAAGTCACCATCAAGACGAAGGGCAGAAAGAGCTGACAGATGAGAAAATGACCGCAAATAAAGTGTAAAACCTGAGAGACAGGATGAGGACAGCTCTGAGGAAACAAACACTGAAAAAAAATGAGAGGCAGCAAGATGGCTGGCAGTAATGAGGGAGATGAAAAATTACAGTTAAATATCTGTTACCACAAATTACATCTGACCTGCAGGAAGATTTATGTTTAATAAGAGAGAGGAGTGTTTTCACTGTTTTTGTGCACACAAGTGATCTTGCACTTTTCATAATGTCATTCCTGTCTAAGCTTCTGTTATTTGAAAAAGTGCTTTGTACACAATTGCTTTTGTTTACTTAAATTAATATATTTGGGGAAAAAAAGAAGAGTCTGCATCGAGCTTACTGTACTTTCCACTAACAAGAGCAAGCATTTCGAGTCTATACACGTCTAAGGCGTCTACGATGTTGTGTTCTTGCCCCAAGCAGCAGCTCGGGGATGAGAGCATGACGCAGGGGAGCTGAAGGCGCCCTCGTTGTTTGTAATGCTGAATATGGAATGTAATGGAGAGATCTGCCTGTAGCTTCTCATTACATAAGTAAACCTCTTATGATGCAATTTTCCATATAACTTCACATATGAAATAGAACTTCTATTGACATCTTTTCTTTTTCAAGTCAGCAGAATGTCGAGCAACAGCAGTAGTAAAACAAAGCTTACGCAGAGAAATGTTGTATTATTTGTCAACAGAGAATATAAGTCTAATTTTCTTGTATTTAATTACACGGGAGTCACTAGGACAGTTCTGGGGGGCTTTAACTCATCCAAATGTTATTTAGCCCCTTTATAATGTACATTACTCGTTCAAATCATCTATAGTTTATTCTCATTCATTCTTCATTGTTCAACCGTGACATCACATCTCCAACTTCACAACATACTGTAATAGCAGGGCGTATTATGTAGCGCTGCTCTAATGTAGCGCTGCCTCTGCTGTGCAACCAGAGGTTTACTTATGTAATGTGAAAATCGGAACACCGGCTCAGCCAATCATATCAGACCTCGTAAGTTGTAAGCCAATCATATCAGACCAGGGGGCGGGTCTTTGGTTTTACTCAAGGTAACGGCAGAAAACCGGGTCTGGTAATGTCAGTCTGCAACTGCTGAAGCTGTGACAGGATTTTGGCTAAAAACTCACTAAAATAAACGTTAAATTTATTCAAAAACAGTAAGTAGTTACAGATTGAAGATTGATAGCCACCTACAGTCTGGATTGGCAAATTATGGTCAGTATAGCTGCCTTTGTTTACTCAGTTGCTTGTTAGCTAGCTAGCTAACTTTGGGTTTACGTGAGGCAAAGAAAAGAGGTTTTGCTAACACTAACATTAACTATCTAGCTTAGAAGCCAACTAGTTTAAGAATTATAAAAACCTCACTTCATAGTACGTGTGAACAAAAGGCACATTGGGACGTTATTGACAGCTCTTTATAATCTTTGTTTTTGTATTTCTCTTTAGTATTTGGAAACAATGGCACCAGTATTTGTCATGTAGTGTTGTTGTCAGTGAAAAGGTCATATAGTGTTGGATCACAACGCCTTTTTATTGCCCTCAAATCCTCAACCTGTAGATAGAAATGAAGAGGCGGCAGCTCTGTCGAAGTCAGATGAGATTTTTACCAGTAAAAAACACTGATGTTTTATTATTTCCTTGAGTTTTTGAAAGTCTGAGTTTAATACAGTTTATTTATAACTAGACACAGGAAGAGAGGGAGAGAAAGAAGCTGAAGGAGACTGACAGGACTGAAGGAGCAGAGCTGATGAAGGTTAGTGATCAAGAGCAAAGTGAGGGAGAGATGTTCAAGCTTTCAGTAAAATGAATGCCATATTAAACTTAACCGAGAAAATGTCACTATGACCATGAAATTCTGTCACCTAGATTATTATACAAGCCTATGGAATAAAGCCCTCTCTTTCCTATTGCACCATCTGAGACTGAATAGCTCTATAATCTGTGTATTTAAATAATATATTTAGGATCTTGCAGCTTATCCAAGAGGAGATAGCATTGCTTGATTTCAGTACAGTGCTTGCTGTGTCTGTTGTAAGTGGATG